GTCCGACCTCTGAGGTCTTGGCCCCACGGCCCTAGCCTGGCTGCCCAGGACTGGTGGATGCCCGTGTCCACCCCGCCCCCACAGCCCCCTTAGATTAATAGGAGCTTTTTTATTCTTGGAAAAAAATATTAATCCCCACCCCCCGAGGAGAAGCCATCTGCCCAGCGCCCACGATGCCGTGCCGCCCCGGCAGGCCTGACGGCGACAGCGGGCTCAGCTGCACCGCGGCCAAGGTGGGGGCGGTGGGGCTGGGGACGCCTGGATCCCAGGAGCCCTCCAGAGACAAATCAGGTCTATGGGAGACACCAGGAGGACGAGGCCATTCCGCGCAGCTCGTTATTGTCAGGATGCCCCTTTCGGGCACCAACTGCCCCGAAGCCAAGGTCCTGCGGGGAAGCCAGCACCCCCACCCCGGTCCGGGCTGCCTGCTGTCCCATAGCAGCCTGCCACCCACCCCCTTGCTGCAGCCCCTGTCTGCCCGCCAGCCCGGTGTCCCTCGCCTGCCGCCGTGGCTGCGGCGCTGGCGCATTAATCACGCTCCCATGCAGCATCAAGAAGCTGCTGCCCTAATTATGCATAAATAAATAAATGATCATGGCCGCTGTCAGGAGCGCTGACGAGCTGGCTCAGGGCTCCCTGCGTTGGCGCTGCAGGCGCTGTGTATGCCAGGCATAGGGGTGGCGCGGAGGGCTCTTGGGGTCCCTCTTGACAGCATCCCCCACAGCGCAGCTGGGCCCTCCCTGCTGCCCAGGCCCTGAGCACGTCTGCAGCCCTGGGCCAGAGCCCGAGCCCGGCCTTTACTGCAGCATGCACCTCGGCCCATGTGTGCAGGCTGGGTCCTGCCTGCCCCGTCCGTGCCCCGGGGCTCAAACAGGCATCCTGGGAAGGTGCTGAGCACCTGCCAAAGTGGAGGGACGGAGCAGGCGGATGCAAGGTCTCCCCATGTTTGCTGACGACAGGCCTGACCAGGGGGAGCAGAAGTCAGCTGCGGCCCTTGGACACCAGGCTACGGGGTCCCACCCTCGCCCTCTGCCACTTTCCTGGGATGCTGTTGTCCATGCAGCTGCCATGAGGGCTGTGCCCGGCGCTCTGCGGGGCTCAGGCGAGACGAGGCTCCTGCCTGGGGCACTAAAGGGAAGGCCCAAGGCATCCAGGGACCCCAGGGGGGGCAGGTGGGGCAGGCAGCGGGGTTGGGGCAGCGTTGCCCATTCATGCCTACGGAAGCGGCGTGCCCGGAGCAGCAGGGAGGGGTAGTAGGAGGCAGAGTGTGAGTGTGTGCATGTGTGTGTCTGCACGTGGCGTGTCTGCGTACATGTGTGTGTGACCTCTGCTTCTGGCTGACTGTGCCATGTCAGGCACACGCTGACTGGAAGCAGGTGCCTCTCTCCGAGCCAGGCTCGGGGGCAGGCACCGGACCGGAGGGCTCCTCCTGCCCTCTGGCCACCCAGCGCCCGCCCTGGGAAAGCCTGCCACGCGGAAACACAGCGAACGCTGGGAAGAGCAGGGAGCAGAAGGGCACAAGCAAGGCATGAGAGAGGGGAAGGAGCAGCACTTCGGGGCAGGGGGATCAGTGCAATGCAGAGATGGAAGCAGAGAAAGGGGCCAAGAGGAGGAGGAAGGTTGGGCATGGAGAGGAGGGAAAGACCGACCCGGGCAGAGGGACAAGCGTTTGGACACGGTGGTGAGCTCCAGGCACCCTCAGCTACTCCCAGAGCCGACTGCTGCAACCCCAAGACATCTCAGTGGCCCCCGTGGCCCGGCAGCCCCTCCAGCCTGAGGCCTCTCCTGCCACCGGGTTTGCTCCCATGCCCGCTGCATAAGGGCCACAGGCCACTGCGGGTGACCGGCAACCGTCTGCTCACACTAAGTCTTCCTGGCCAGAAAAGAGACGGGGTCAGCCAGGCCTGGGGACAGTGGGAGGCTGCATCCCTGTGGCAGGCGCAGGGGCCCAGGAGCCAGCCT